TATGACTTCCCCCTGATGAAGTTGCACGGACTCAGCCCTCTTTTACCATGCACTTCTAACTACTCCACAATCTCATCTGTAATAATTGATTCTAAAATATGACCAATGGCTGAGGTCTATAGTTTTCTGTCTTCTGCCTCTCTCCCTTCTTAAACAGGGGTGTTGTATTAGCCATTTTCTGGTTCTATGGACCCTCCCTGACTCCAGTGGTTCCTGAAAGACCACTACCAATGCCTCCACAATATCCTCAGCTATCCCCTTCAGAGCCGCGGAGTTTAGTCCATCTAGTCTGGGTGATTTATCCACTTTCAGCTTCCCCAGCACCTTCTCCTTCGTGATGGCCACTGTACTTTCCTCCGCACCCTGACTGTCTCGATGTTGGTACGCTACTGGTGTATTCCATCCCGTAGACTGTCACAAAGTACTTTTTCAATTCCTCCGCCATGTCTTTGTTCCTCAATACTACTACTGCAGCCCCACTGTCCACTCTTGCCTCTCTCGTACTTTTTATATATCTAAAAATCTCCTGCAATCTTCAATTCTACTACTACCATCTAGCTTACCCTTACATTTCATCACCTTCTCCCTTATTGCTTTTTCAGTTATCGTCTGCTGGGGTTCAAAGGTTTCCCAATGCCTCAGGCTTCCCATGGATCATCACCACATTGCATGCTTTTATCTTTTATGCTGCCTCTTGACAGCCACAGTTGCCTTGTCAACCCCATTGTACGTTTTGTCTTCCTTGTGTTATAACCCTACCTGTTCTTTCTAACTTTTCCTTCTGTAAACCTCTTATATTAATGTTTTAAACAGTTATCAGAAAAGGCTGCGATTCTGTACAAGGTTCATGATACAGTCAGCACCCTCGCCATCTGCACTGCCAGGGATACAACACAGATCAGGATCGACTGTTCGTCGGTCACCTGTGCCCCCCGCTGTTACGCTGCAGAAAGCCAACCAAAGCTAACAGGGAATTTAATCCTACAGTCTTGCAAAGAAACAGTCACAAATCTGCAGGGAAAAACAAGGGGCCGGAGTAACAATGCCAAACCCCTCAGCCCTGCCTGAGGAGTCGAAGGCTGGAGCTTGAGCAGCGAGGTTTGAGAAAGGGATTGCTTCCAGAGAGGAGATGCATCCTGAGTGCCCGATTGGTGAGGAGCCAAGGGGAGACCGCCTGAAGCAAAGAACAGATAAGAGTGACTGCAGCAATAAAGGTCGAACTGCAAGACCATTTTTGGCAAGGAGCTGTAGCGTGAGTTTCTGATTGGTAGGGTATCATGAGGAGATTGTCCAGAGGAAGGAACCAATCCAACCTAGTGAATCTTTCAAAGCTTTCAGCAATTTGTTCAGCAAACAGTTGTAGAGCTATTCAGAGGGATTTAGCACATCCAGAGGTCAGAACTGAGATTCAAATTCTCTAAATCCAGCTGCACAGCTCATCACCTTTCTCTCTCTCTACCTTTCAACAAATATCTCACCTCCACCACCAACATTTTGTCCTGTCTGACAGAGTAAAGTATACCGGCTTCAGGATAAAGCAGGAATTTGGGCTAATTATCTGGGTTTTTAGTTTGTGGCTTTAAGAAGTTGTATCAATGCCATTCCTAGAATTCTGTCCGGTGTTTTTTGTTAGTAGTGAGCTGTTATTCCTGTTCTACATAAAATAAAGGCTGTCAGAAGTCTTCATAGTATGCCTGGCTCAGGAGCGGTAAATTGAAGCACAGGTCAGTTGGGAGGAGTTATTGCATTAACATCACAAAACCTTCATATGATTACAGTTCTCCACTTTGCGTCTGACCGTGTGGTTAATTCAGTGTCCGTGATTCTTGGGATGTATTTCTGCTATGTCTCCCGAGTTAGGCCAGAAAATCCTGTCATTGCTGCTCCAACATCTTCCCTGCTAGACTCCCATTCCAATCACTTCTGGTCAGCTCCTCCACCATGTCTTTGTCTTTAGCCTTGGTCAATTGTAACACCGTTACATCTGATTCAAATTTCTAACCCTCTCAAACTGCGGGGTGAATTCTATCATATAATGGGTACTGCACCCCACCCCAAGGATTTTTTCATGTTAAACTACCTAATCAAGACTACACATCACCAAATCCAGAACTGCCTGTTCCTTCTGTCGCAAAGTCGGGTCAAGTATTTGTGGATCGGATGGCAGGACGTTAGAATTTGATGTTTGTAAAATGATGGGGGGAGAAAAGAGTGTGTGGTCCCTTTAAAAGATGATGCGCTTTGTTTTAGGCTTGGCGATTAAAAGAAAATGTCTGCAGGCAGCAACAGATGCGCAGAGTTCTTGAAATTGAAACACTGTTATCAAAAGGTGATACTGTTAGCAGGCAAAGCAGCATTTTTACCAAGACAACAGGTTTTTGAATTTAGCCAATTAATTTAAACCAGGCCCTGGATTCCAAAATCCAATTAAATTTAAACCTGACGGTTTTGACAACCTAGGATCGATCCTATTGTAAGAAATTAATAGGTTATCAAGGGTATAAAGGAGGAGGGCATTTGAAAATCGGTGTGAGAGTCTACTGTCATCTGCGAAGAGAACAGCTTTCAGCTATAAAAGAAAGAATCATTGGCTCTCACAGAATTCTGTTAGCTCTCTGAAAATCATCTAAACTAAAGGTACAGCGGCACTCTTGGCTAATATTCCTGACACAAGATTTCAACAGAGAATGGCAGTCCTGACTGAGGATCAGTGGAAAGGGCACGGAGCATTCCGGAAGACACATCTTGGCTGTAATTTCGAGGGATTAAGGTATAATTTTTTTTGTTATTTTGATTTTTACAAGTGGGGCTTATATTTATTGGAACAGCATATCATTAGAATTCTGTTTTATTCGGGAATAGTTAGTAGTTAAGGGGGAATTGTTTGGTTTGTTAGTAGTTCTGTTAATGGGGAGGCAATGGCCCAGTGGTATTGTCGCTGGACTGTTAATCCAGAGACCCGGATAACATACTGGGGACCCAGGTCTAAATCCCGCCATGGCAGATGGTGGAATTTGAATTCAATAAAATATCTGGAATTAAGAATCTAATGATTCCATTAATCCATTGCCGATTGTTAGAAAAACCCACCTGGTTCACTAATGTCCTTTAGGGAAGGAAGCTGCCATCCTTACCTGGTCTGGCGTACGTGTGACTCCAGACTCACAGCAATGTGGTTGACTCTGAACTGCCCTCTGGGCAATTAGGGATGGGCAATAAATGCTGCATAGTCAGGGACATCCTCATCCCGTTCGTAAATAAAGAAAAAAAAAATTGTTCACTTTTAGAATTAGATAAAATAAATTGTTACTTGTTGATTATAGAGTGACTGTCAGGAGTTCATTTCATTTAACCTCTCCATTATAACAGATTTGGTGGGGGTCGTGAGAGGCAGATTATACCACTTTTCACATTTCCTTTAACAGATGAGCTTCTCTGGGTGTTTCGGTTTTAGTTATTAGAGGGTGGTCATCCTCTGCTTCATAACACTTCATGAGCTCTACCACAAACTATTCCAAAAAAAAAGTTGCAGACATTCTATGAATTCCTTTTCATGAGATCCACTGCCAACCTGGTTTTCCCAGTCTACCTCACTGTCCCCATGATTATTGCTATAGTGCCTTTCAATCCCCTGATTTATTTTCTGCCCCACAGCCTGACTACTGTCAGGGGGCCTGTACATAGTTCTCATCACAGTCCTTTTTCCTTTGTGGAATCTCAACTGTACCCACACAGATTCCAAGCCTTCCCAGCCTAAATCACTTCTTCCTATTATTTTCATTTCTCACTAACAAGGCAAGCCATCCCTCTCTGCCCACTTGCATGTCCTTTCCATACGATACGTATCCTTGGACATTTAGTTCCCAGCCCTGATCCTGTTGGGAGCAATGTCTCTGTGATACTCATAAACTCATACTTGTCAAGTTCAATCTGCAGTACAAACTCATTTACCTTTTATATCCTGCATGCATTTAAATACAACACCCTCAGTCCTGCATTGCCTGCCTTCCTTCTCATAGTTGCCCCCGTATCTCCTGGGCCTCAAGTTCGAATCTTGACCCTTTCCATTCGCTCTGTCCTATTTCTTGTTCTGGAAACTTTGATAACCTCTGCAGACCTCTCCCCCAACTTTAAAATGTTCCATAATTTTACATGCAATTGATCCCACACCCCACTGTTAAGTTAAAGCCTTATCCACAGCCCCAGTTATGCAATTCGCAAGGAATCTGATCCCAGCATGATCCAGATGGAACCTGCCTCATTGGAAGGAGCTCCCTCCTTTTCCAGTACTGCAGTCAATTTCCTGTGAATTTCAAACCATTTCCCCACCACACCCCCCACCAAACTTTGAGCCATAGGCTTACTCGTTTAATATTGTTGACACCGAGCCCAATAGTTTGTGGCTCAGTTTATAATCCAGAGACTATTACCTTTTCGGTTCTGCTTTTCAATTTAGCCCGTAATGCTCCGTATTCGCTCAGCAGAACCCCTTCCCTCTTTATACCGACATCGTTGGCATCTACAACTGGATCTTTCCCCTCCCACTGCAAGTCTTTCTGTAGCCCGGATGAGATATCCTCAACCCAGGCACCAGGCAGGAAGCACAGCTTCGGGACTCTTGATCGTGACCAAAATGTCTATTCCCCTGACTACTCGATCCCCGATGACAATTACATTTCTCTTTTCTTTACTATCTTGTTGCCCTCTGAATTGAATTCCAACACTGCCTACAAAATTCCCCGAACCAAGTACTCACTCAGACTGTCTTTCACTCCAGACGTGATCTCCCCTTCCTGGCAGTGCGCAGCTTACGGTGAGTTCTCTGGTGTGAATGTAAGTGAGATAACTGAGTGAAACTCCTCTTGCACTCAGGACAGGAGAATGGTTTCTCTTCAGTGTGAGATCGCTGGTGTTCACGTAACTTGTACGACTCAGTAAATCCCTCAGAGCAGGGTTTATCTCTGCTGTGAGTTCTCTGGTGTTGATGTAAGTTGGATAACCGAGTGAATTTTTTCCCACACTCAGAACACGGGAACTGTTTGTTTCCACTGTGAGTTCTCTGATGTGACTGTAAGTTTGTTAACTGAGCGAATACCTTCCCACACTCACGGCAAGTGAATGGTTTCTCTCCAGTGTGAGTTCTCTGGTGCCTAAGTAAAGTGGATGACTTAGTGAATCCCTTCCCGCAGTCGGAGCAGGTGAATGGTTTTTCCCTACTGTGAGTTCGGTGGTGTTGTTGTAAGTTGGATAAACGAGTGAATCTCTTCCCGCACTCAGGGCAGGGAAATGGTTTTTCTCCGGTGTGAGTTGTCTGGTGTTGATGCAAGTTGGAGAACTGAGCGAATCCCCTCCCGCACTCAGGGCAGGTGAAAGGTTTCTCTCCGGTGTGAGTTCTCTGGTGTGACTGTAAGTTCGTTAACTGAGTGAATCTCTTCCCGCATTCAGTACAGCTGAATGGTTTTTCTCCAGTGTGAGTTCTCTGGTGTTGATGCACGTGCGATAACCGAGCGAATCCCTTCCCACAGACAGAGCAGCTGAACGGTTTCTCTCCAGTGTGAGTTCTCTGGTGCTCACGTAACTTGGAAGACTGAGCAAATCCCTTCCCGCACTCAGAGCAGGTGAATGGTTTTTCTCCAGTGTGAGTTCCCAGGTGTTGATGTAAGTTGGATAACCGAGTGAATCTCTTCCCACACTCAGGACAGGGAAACGGTTTTTCCCCAGTGTGCGTTCCCTGGTGTGACTGTAGGTTGACTAACTGAGTGAATTTCTTCCCGCATTCAGGACAGGTGAATGGTTTTTCTCCAGTGTGAGCTCTCTGGTGTTGATGCAAGTGTGTTAACTGAGTGAATCCCTTCCCACATTCAGGGCAGGTGAACGGTTTCTCTCCAGTGTGAGTTATCTGATGCCGAAGTAAAGTGGATGACTTAGTGAATCCCTTCCCGCAGTCAGAGCAGGTGAACAGTTTCTCTCCAGTGTGAGTTCTCTGGTGCTCACATAATTTGGAAAACTGAGCAAATCCCTTCCCACTCTCGGAGCAGGTGAATGGTTTCTCCCCAGTCTGAACGTTCTGGTGTACATGTAAGTCAGATGAATTAGCAAACCACTTACCACATGTTATGCAGATGAATGACTTCTCCCCAGCGTGACGTCTCTGGTGTATCTTTAAGCTGGATAAACGAGCAAATCCCTTCTCACACTTGCAGCAAGTAAATGGTTTCTCTCCTGTGTGTTTGCGCCGATGAACATCCAGCCTGGATGGAAATCTGAATCCCCTACCGCACTCCACACATTTACATGGTTTCTCCATGGTGCCAGTGTCTTTGTGTCACTCTCGTTTGAAGGATTTGTTCCTGCTCTAAACGGTGCACTGTTTCTTCAGTCTTTGCAACTGATTAAAGCTCTTTCCACAGTCAGTTCACTGGAACACTCTCATTCAGATGTTTGTGTGTCTTGGTGATTTTCTAGTCACACTGATGTTTGCAATCTTTCCCGCTGAGACAAAGCAAACATTTCTCCTTGCACAGTCAGAGGGCAGTGATGTTCAGCTCCTGATAAATGCAGTGACTTTGTCAGATCTTGAACTGATCTTTCGTTTGGGTTTCCTGATCTAAACCCTGCTCTTCTAATCCCTGTGGCAGGAGATGTAAAACCTGTTCACTGTCAGTAAAGCAGAGAAATCATAAACAGGCAATTCCAGTTTCTGTGGAATATTTTCCTCTCTTGCTCCCTGCAAATTGTAAATCGCCGGCACACACTCACTCTGTCTCCCACCCTCTTTCCTGGGTGAAACCCCTATAAAATGTTGGATAATTATCTCCAACTCATTCTAACTAAATGGTTACAACTGGCCCAGAACCTAAACCTGCTTTGAGGAAGCTACTAAAATGGCGGCCGCGCACGTGCACAGACGTTCCGGGAGCAAATCCTTACTGCGCATGCCTGTGCCCGCCACCGTGCTTAATGATTGACGGACGGTCCGGACCAATGTGGAGAGAGGGAGCCGTGCCTGGAGGACCATGCGGCTGCGGTGGTCCTCCAACCAATCGGAGTCAGTGAAAGGGCGGTACAGGACCGCAGGGCGAAGCATGCGCAGCGCCGGCGCTGGAGCTGAAAGGACGGAGGGTGGGATTTAAAGGTGCAAAGGGCTGAACGTTGAGACAGGGACATTACCCCTCAAGACCCCAATTAGAAACTGGTTTGACAGCGAGTTAGAAGGCGAGCATTTATGCATAGCAACTTCCATGCAAGAAGATATATTTGGCTGTTTTGAATTTCGATCCTGGAATGACAGTGAGGGAGTTTGGAAACTCCTTTCGCAGTGAATTGGAATAAACATAAGAAATAGGTTCAGGCGGAGGCCATTCATCCCCTCAAGCCTCTCCAGTTGTTTCAAAGGATCAAGTGCCTCAGGCCTCAACTTCACTCTTTTTTTGCTAACTTCTCACAGACCTCAACACCCTGACGTTCAAAAATCCATCTACATCCTCTAATTTCTTCTGGTCATCCAGCCTCCACAATTCTCCGGGGGAGAGAATTCCAGAATACACTATCCTCTGAGTGGAAAAGTTCCGTCCTTTCTCAGTTTTAAGTGAGAATCCCATTGTTCTGTAACAGTGTACCCTAGCTAGACATGTTGAGGTGTTCCCACGTCTTGTCAAACCCTGCCTTATAGTATCCTGTATGTTTCAATGAGGTCACCCCATGGTTCTAAGCACTAATTGATAAAGGCCCCAATCACAAAATGCTGGAGAAACTCAACAAGTCTGGCAGCAAATCACATTATTACGTTAAACCCTCCGCATGCAATTTTTATATCAATCACTTTATTCCAATCATTTGGTTTATCTAAAGCATCACCTTATTTATTATGAGATAACAAGATGTAGAGCTGGATGAACTCAGCAGGCCAAGCAGCATCAGAGGAGCAGGAAAGCTGACATTTCAGGTCTGGACCCTTCTTCAGAAATGTGAGGTGATGCGTTTTGGAAGGTCAGGTGCAGGTGGAAATTTTACAGTGAATGGCAGAGGGAACTGGGAGTGCAGGTCCACAGGTCACTGAAGGTGGCAGCACAGGTAGATAAGGTAGTGAAAAAGGCCTATGGTATTCTTGCCTTCATTGGAAGGGGCATTGAGTATAAAGACAGGCAAGGTATGCTGCAGCTTCATAGAACTTTAGTTAGGCCACACTTGGAATATTGCCTACAGTTCTGGTCACTACACTACCAGAAGGTTGTGGATGCTTTGGAGAGGGTGCAGAAAAGGTTTATCAGGATGTTGACTGCAAGGGGGGATTTTAGCTATGAAGAAAGGTTGAATAGACTGGGTTTGTTTTCACTGGAATGCAGGAGGTTGAGGGGGCGACCTGAAAGAAGTTTATAAGCTTTTGTATGGCATAGATGGAGTGGAAAGTATGAGGCTTTTTCCCAAGGTAGAGGGGTCAATTACTAGGGAACACAGGTTCAAGCTGCAAGGAGGGGGGGGGGGAGGGGGGCGGTGAAGTTTAAAAGAGATGATCGAGGCACTCATCAGATCTACCACCTCGAGAGACAAGGGCAGCAAATGCACATGATCATCATCGCCTGCAAGTTCACCTCCAAGTCACAGTCTATCCTAACTGTTCCTTCACTGTCGCTGGGTTAAAATCCTGGAATGACCTCTCTAACAGCACTGTAGGTGTCTCTTCTAACAAAGGACTGCAGCAGTTCAAGAAACGTAGAAACAAGCACCAGGATTCAGCTATTCAGCCTTTCGAACCTGCTCTGCCATTCAATACAATGATTCCCGCTTTCTCTATATAACTCTTGATGCTTTAATATTGAAATATTTTTCGTGAATATGCTCAGTGACCCGACCTCCAGAGCATTCTGTGGTAGTGAATTCCAGGGGTTGAAGAAATCTTTTCTCATCTCAGTCCTAAATGGACTACTCAGTATCCTGAGACTATGACTCCTGGTTCCAGACTCTCCAACCTGGGAAATATTCTCCCTGCTTCTGGGCCGTCCAACCTAGTTAGTATTTTATATATTCCAATCATGACAGTAATAAATCAAATTTTGTAGATGGAAAGGTCACACCACGTAATCAGGTTCTCTCTCATTCTTCTAAAACTTAATGAAAACTGGCCCAATTGAACCAATCTCTCCTCATAGTACAGCCCTATCATCCCTGGTATCATCCAAATGAACCTTCATTGCAATCCCTTTGCAGGAACTGTACCCTGTCTTAGGTAGGGAGACCAAAACTGCCACAATACTCCAAGTATGGTCTGATTAAGGTCCTGTATTATTGCAGAGAGACACCCCTATTTCTGAGCTCAAGAAGTCTCATCAAGAAGCTCACATCAACTCCATTCTCCCAAGTTGCCTTGATCCCTTGCATTTCACCTACCAGAGCACCAGGTCCAGGGTTGATGCCATCTCCCTGGCCGTACACTCATCCTTGGAACGTCTGAACAACAAGGATACCTATGCTGGGCTCCTACGTATTGACTACAGCCGTCTTCAACACCATAATTCCAAACAAGCTCATCTCCAAACTCCAGGATCTAGGTCACTGTTCCCCGCTCTGTAGCTGGATTCTCGACTTCCTGACCAACAGACCGCAGTCAGTAAGGATAGACAACACCACCTCCGCCACAATAATCCTCAACACCGGTGTCCTGCAAAGCTGCGTACTCAGCCTCCTACTATACTCCCTAAACACACACATGACTGTATGGCCATATTCCGCAACAACTCCGTTGACAAGTTTGCTGACGACACCGCTGTTGTACGCTGGATCTCAAACAGCAACAAGACAGAGTACAGGAAGGAGATAGAGTGCTTAACGGCATAGTGTAAAGACAACATCAATGTCAGCAAAACACAGGAGTTGGTCATTGACTTCAGGAAGTGGAATGGAGAGCACAACCCTGTCTGCATCAATGGTGCTGAGGTGGAGATGTTCAAT